GGCCGTCCCAGACGAGATTCCTGCCCTAGAAGGCGAGGGTGAAGATGATGCATCACGCATGGAAGAAGTCGATTAAACCAACGTTCCCCCCTGAAGATTTCTAACACTTTAGCCTCACTTTTCAATTGTTCATCCTTTAAGCTGCAGTAACTGCAAAACAAATAGTCATTCATGTTGTTTGGTGGACCAATGTTGCTCTTGCGTCCGGAGCATTACTCTGCAAGACCGTTTTGAGAAAAGCTGTTTTGGTTTTTGCTGTAATAAGTTCATGGTGACAACACATATGTTTTAAAGAGTACCCTGTTGCACTGAGTTTTAAATGTTGAAGCGGTTATGTGTGAACATGGGAATGGTACATTCCATATCAGATCAGGTCTGGTGGAGGGTGGGTTCTGCTCATGTGCAACACTGCACGCTGCATGGAGAGAGGACTGTAAGATTCCTTTGCCTGAGTCCAGGCTTGTCTGTATTCCAAGTCTTGTTTTGCAAAAAAGTAAAAGATGTAATACCTATATTCTGTCGTGGTTGTATTCATTAATCATGTGATTATCTGGCTTTGCTGAATATTTAATTACTATCCTACACACTAATAGAAATGTTCAGCTTTAGGATTGGTTTGCTTGACATTAGATAAGGCAATGTAGTAATTTACAACAGTGTCACACTTCATTGAAAATCAAAGTGACCACTAGGTGGAGACATGCTCCATAAAACTAATTCGATACTACAATTACAGTGAAGGTCTTCTCACACCAGTTAAACCAGTGGTTCTCAAACTTGTTCTGTCAGGCCCCCCCCTTGTAGAAAAAAAACAAGTCGTGCCCAACAGATAGTCAGGCTCAGTGGCAGCACCAGATATTTATTTTGGGGTAGCTTGACGTTTCATAGAGGGTGCTAAAACCTTTAGGGTTTCCCATTAATGTACCGGTCGCTACAGTGTAATTTTCTACTAAAACACTCCTCATGCAAATGCAGTGTGACAGTTACAATGAAGGCTCGAGGCATATAGGTTTAAGCAGGGGTAAAGTGCTATTTTTTTTTTTATAGGTGGTGTGTGGACCTTACATACGGGGGTCTGGGGGCAAGCTCCCTCGGGAAGTTAAAAGCATCAATCTGGTGCACTTTGAGACCAAAATGAAGAGATCTACGGATACCTCTCAAAACACCAATATGAAACACAACTGTAAACAGATTTACTTTTTCTTTATGGATATTTTACAAATCACCCTTTTAAACTTTCATATAGTCATATATTTCATACCTGTTTTTCATTTATTCTCTTATTTTATAACTATAATGATCATATAAACGTGTGCCTCGGAAATAATTGTTTACATTAATGGTAACCAAATCGTTTAAGACCCACTGAGATAACACTGAGAGAGTCCTTTAGTTCACTGAGGCTCTCAGTCTGACAGGAGAGGACTCTCCTCCACTTTGTTGTTGAAAAAACTCCTTATATCCGTTAGCGTAGCTCGCTAGCACCAGAAGCTAACAACAACGATCTCAGGTAC